GAAGTACTAAATAAAAAGTGCTTACCCAGCAAGTTAGTAGTGTATCTTTCTATGAATCACATGAAAGCAGAACAGTCTATTGCACACATTGCACAGCAGATATAGTTTATTAGACAATGAACACTCACTCTCTTTTAATGCTCATGTTCCTTTCTGGTATCAAACTCACAGCCAAGATGGCAGGTCAGATTCTGACTTCTTTACAAAATAAATACAGAGGAAGCACCGAAGAAAATTTACTCAATTTTTTTAGATACTATAATACATGAAAATCTAAACACAACATTCTGTTTCTGAAGGATTTCCAAAAGGAAATCCATAGGGGACAATAGTCTCACAACACACTACAACAAAAACTACATAGGATTCCCACCATATTTCTTGTAAGTGCAGATATTCTAAAACACAACAAGAGAGTAAAGGAGGAAAGATACAGACATTTTAACTCCTCATTGTTTTATTTTAGTTTCTAGCATGTTCTGATGGTGAAGCTATGTTCAGTTACACCAAAAAGCCTTCTCTCTACCTGAACAACTAACTGTATGCTCATGAGCAAGACAAAACAGAAGTACCTTTGAGGTACTTTGACTTGCCAAACAGATGGTGTTGTTTGCTGATCTATATGATCAGAGCATTTGCATGCTATTACAATAGCGTTTCCTTCTATTTGTGCACCATGACATTAAAAGAAAGCCAATGGAGGGGAGAGGATTTGGCTGGCTTTGTTTATTCCCTCAGATAAGTAAAATCTTACTGCAGCCAACACTGACTGTAAGTGCAAAGGATTTACAGCCTGTACCAGGAGGTAAATAAACGGTCTGCTCACTGGAGCAGAATTAAGTATCCAGCTAGAGACAGAAAGCCAATATTTTACAAATGGGACTGTTTGGTACTGATTGCCAAAGGCATCTGCATGCAGTTTCTTAACTACTGTTACTCATGAATCTCTCCAGAAACAGTGTGTTATCTTGACTCTAAGCAGGTGTCTCTAGCTTGTTTGTGCTTTAGCTATGATGAAAGCATTCTGGAAACTTGTGACAGGCAAAGATTAAGTCAATGTAATTCAAACAAAAAAGTAACAGAAAATGCTGAGGTTCTTCAAAACGACTTGCTTAGGTTTTTCCAGTCAACCAAAACTCACCTACATAAGCTTCATCATCCATTGGCAGGGGAACTGACATGCAGAGGTAGGTATCGGACTATTAAAAGACCAAAGAACAGATATTACCTTTAAATCTGGAATATTTAGAATGAAAGAAATGGAAACAAAGCATCGAAATTCACTATGCTTTCTGAAGATGAATGAGGGACTACTGAACAAACTAATAGATAAAGATTATCTATTTATAAGCCTTAGCACTGAATTAATTTGCAGTCGTTTACAAACACTGCCCACTCCCCACATGCTAAATATTTGGGGTTTCTTTTCCCTCCTCCTCCTGTTTGAAAACATGTACATGTTTCCTCCATGAACCAGGTATATATTTTTACATAGTTTAAGCTGTATGTTAGCTGTATGCCCCTACTTTAAAAGAATTAAATGATTCCTGTAGTAATCATTCCAGAACAACAATGCGAATGCTCATAATCTAGGTACAACCTTACTGGTATTACCAAAAATTTATCTCAATTTCATGGAACACATGCAGATGGTTAGACTTCTTAGTATTCAAAGAGATTGATTTTCAGTATCTGTTTTCCACAAGAATTACCCGGGAAGCTAAAGCATCGAGGACCTTGGAAAAGTAAATTAAATACAGTTGCCTACAGTGATGCTATGGAAGAACTCAACTCAGCAGCAGTACTATTTCAGAAGTTCCCTTTCTTTTTCTAGCTTGGAGACATTCTTTGACTAAACAACCAATGGCTTCAGAGCCCCCAGAAAAATTCTTACATTAGATAAATCTGCTGACTGTACCTCTACCACAGGTCACACGGCTCATAAATTGTAAACGAAAGACCTGGGTAGTTCTGTTACACATCTTTCTGTTAGCTTGCTATGATTCTCAATAAAAAATGTGACTGTCAGGTGTGCATACCACCAAGGAATCTGAAGTGACCTACTCCTTCATACCTGTTTCCTAGTTCTTCAACTAATGGCTCCTCAGGTAAAATCAATAAAACAATTACAAACATGCACGTGGATGAACTGAGAGTACTTCTCACTCTTTCTGAATTATAAGTTTAATACTTTGCTGCAGACAAATAAGATCTAGTAGAAACTATATTTGTGTTTTACACTCACTGGAATGACACTATAAATTACAAGTTCCAGAGGGCTGCTCCCCAAGAACAGAAAACCTCATTTTCCCTTCAGTATTTTTAAAAGTGTTATCTGCAACAATGAATCACCATCTACTGCAGCACAATATCCTGCTCTTTACAAGCATCTGCAGCCCTCTGGAAGAGACACAGGGGCTCTTAATGATATATGTAACTCCCTGCATTGCTTCCCTGCAAAAAAAAAAACAACCTTTAATAATAATTGTTTATCTTGCTTAATGAAGCTACATGTGAAGATGACAGTAGAATCTCAGACTTTTCGGTGAATCTTAAAAATGCTAATGTTAAAAATCTTAACTATCGTCTTCATTTTCACTCACTCGGCTCAGTAGAAGCAATTTCTAACGTGAGAGAATATACTATTATGACTTGTTTATAGTAGCTTTCCTGGAGTATTTTAGGGGCTTGAAATACTGGGTCAAAAGTGTTACCCTTATGAAATACTTTCCAGTTGTCTTCTGCGCTTGCCAAAGTTGCAGCAGTGTTAATTTTAACTGAACTCATTTCACTAAGGCCTCATTTGAGATTCGGTGTAAACTGCAACTCCAAATAAATGTATGACTTACTAGCGCAGCTGGAAATATTTCACTTTAATAAAACTCATATTCCTAGTTTTAATAAACTTCAGCATTTCAGTTTATGAAACCAAAATTTCAAAAATACAATTAATCACATGCAAAGATTCTTCTCTCATTTGAGATTACTTTTCTGTTTCTTACTTTTTTCTGGACATACATACATGTCTATAAACGTTACCTTGCTGGTGGGTTTTAATTCATTTTATGTGAATTATACTGTAGGCAAGGCTTTATTTTCCAAGGTTATATATAAAAAAAAAGTAAGTACAAAAAAGAAAAACTGCATTTCTCTCACCTGCTTAGGTGTCACACCAGGCATGCGAATGTCCAATGCAAAATCTGACAGACCAAGTGAAATTACTGGCTGGTCACTTCCAAGGCATTCACTGGAAAAAGATCTGGTAGTGTCTTTGTACCTTAAAATGAAGCAGGAAAGACTTTTAAAAATACTGACTTTTGTTATGTCTTTCTAAAAAGCAGGGTCTTGAGAACTAGCAGGGAAGTTTGACAATGCTAAGGAGCTCCAGGAGTGATGTGGAAATTTCACTCCTTCACGAGCTTAAGTTACCAAGCATTTACTGAGACAGTTCCTCTGAGCAATCACACAGACTAGTTTGGAAAACATTAGCTAAAATGTAGCCTGTCATCTCATCTAAGAAGTTGTCTGAGGTACACGGATGTACAGATAGAGAATTAATTCACTGGAAAATTTCAAGTACTGTTAATCATTCACAAGTTTGGTTTGGTCTTTTTTTTCAAGACTATATGCCTGACGTGTAATGCAATACAGATTAAATTATGTGTAAAGGGGAAATTTTTAATTCCAACACCACAACATATATAGCAACTCCTATTACAAGCAGAGAAGTAAACCAGTAAGTTTTACAACTTTACGTGAATATCAAAGTCTGTACTGAATGAAATGTATAAACAAATTGTAAAAAAAAAATAGGTCACAGTAAGGAACTAAATGGTAAGACATCTGAAACACAATGCAACATTGATATGAATTTGAAATATGCATATTCATGTGTGTATATATATATGTGTGTGTATATATATGTGTGTGTGTGTATATATATATATATATATATAAAGATACAGAAGTGACATGATAACTACAGTGCCCAATATGCCTCAAAAAGAGTAGAACACTTTTCTGGAGAGCTAAGAGACTACAACTTCTCTTGTCCAAACTATATTCAAGTTTACCTATGCAATTCTGCATACAACTCCCCCTGCCCCAGCTCCCAGGATTGCCCAGTTTTAACCTAGATGATGCTTTCTCGTTAAAATATCATTTTATACTGGAAGCTAACTTAAGCAGTTGAAATATATTTACACCCAGTGTAGTCTAAAATACACCTGTGGTGTTACCTAAAAATTTTCACTATTTGTTCTTTTATCATCCTAAACTCATATTTTATAAAGCAATCTATGAATAAAACAAGACTTTCTGCCTTCAGTATGACAACAGTGCCATTTCAAAACTGCAGAAAATAAATTCAGAGCAACTAAGCAAAACCAAACAAACACCATACGTGTTTTTATCTAGGACATGCTTTTTCACATATCCATAATATAGTGACTGCACACATTTAACACATACGGTCTTTCTGTATAACCCACCTCTTGAAGACAGAAAGTGGGCTTCTGAAACCCAAACAGGTGTTTTGAAAAACAAAAAACAGTACTAGCAGGTTTTTAAAGAGGCCAGCCATGACCACTCTGCTGCTCTTGGCCTGATTAAGAGAGCAGAAAAAGGGCAGCACAGTTCTGTCGGCTGTGATCCTGACAATTAGGCTGCAGCAGCAGTATCAATTCACTACTTCATTATTATGTGCTCTGCGGGCATCCTCCAGCTTCTGACAGACCATCTGTCTTGGAAGGTGATACACAGTAAACCAGGAAGGTGGATGATGCTATGTTGTCTCTATTATTAGCTGTAAAATTCTGTTGAAGGATCTTCCCTTGCAGATAGATGACACTGTACTTCTGTCCACTTAGGCAGATGAAAAGAAGTAGCACTCCTACTGCTTTCTCCCCAGGTTGTGCAGTTAAATCTGCATGTTACTTATCAATCCACAGTGCTGCAACTGGCATCACAGAAACTGTGGGTGTTGGAATTCCATTCTCACAAGAAACCAGCATCAATCATCCTTCAGAACCTGTAAAAATAGAAGCAGATAAAGGATGAGTAATGCATTACAGCATTAGCTCTCACCAAATCCCTGTTGTGGCATTTTAAATTCATTAAAGGAAGTTGTTTCACAAGCTTTATTTAGTCCAACCTAGCAAAGACTGCATCAAGTCTGTTGATTCCTCCTCATCCATATAGGATCAGAAGATGACACATTTCATATTGAGATACAAAACGCACTCTCAAACACATTTTACACGACCAGAAAAAATATAAACCTCTTACCTCCCTCAATACGTAAAAAGCATAGCATGGACTATTTCACATATACAAACACTACCATAATGTATTCTACAAGCAGCAAAAAAAGGCCAAGAGATGACATGGCAAGAACCAAGGTTTCTAAATTTTATCAACTATCACTAAACGTTTCTGCACATACTGTGGGCTGGGAGAATATTTTACTGTTAATGCAACCTGCAATACACCATTATGTCACCTGTTTCTTATGTACTTCAGTTACTTTTCATATCCATTTCAGAAAATTGATTCTACAAATTATTTTTGGAAATACTGCAACAAGAACTATTGAGATCAGACTGCTTCATATCCTTTCATAAATTAAGGTTATATCAACATAAACTATTACTCTCCTCATCACTTAAGCTTCAACTGTTCTTACTTACACATTTCAGTTTACACAATATTTTAATTTTAAACTTTTGAGTGTTTTCATAAGTATGCTGGAAAATCACACTGTGTTACTGAAGACAAACAGTAGCATTTTTATTGAGCATTCCAATTCTGGCAGAAGTAAAAGTTCAAGTCATAATAAAAATCAAAGACTTTAAAATGTATTATGTACTAATTCTTTTAAGATAAATATTAATAGGAAAAAAACACCCAAGCCCAACTATATTACAGCCCCTGGAAGACATAGTCAAAATACTGCTATAATGACAAAATAGAAAAGGCAGCTTCTGACAGGAAACACAATTGAAATTCATGTGTTTTGAAAATTCCTTCTATTTTAGGGCAGACATGCAAAAAAACTTATTACGAAAAAAGGGCTTCTGCATAAACTAAGAAGCCATGTTGCCTGCTGTTTAGCACCTACACTAGATCAGCACTGAACTATTTGTTAGTTTTTAAAATCTGATTACATTAATCATCATTAAACTTGCATATTTTATTAACTGAAGGATAAGAAAAAGATTCAGTCATAAACAACTAAAAATAGATTTCATCTTACTTTCAGCTTGCCAAAAACATGCCAGAGCTGTCCAGAATCATTCATGAAAGCTATGGTACAAGCATAATTATTTTTTTTTTTTTTTTAATATAAATTTCCGTGTCTTCAGTTCTGTAGCCTACATCATTTCACTAGTGAACTACGGAAAGCTGCAACACATATAATGGACTGTACCATGACGAAAAACAAAAATAATTAAAAAAATATAAAAAAGGCAAGTGTGATATGCTTCACAAAAAGTTAAGGCGTCTATAAAAACAGAAGGCTTCATTAGCCTTAGTCTTTTAAGCATAATTACGCAACAGTTAACTGTTCAGCATCTTTGTAATTCACATGGTTGGAAGTTCTAGTACTGTTAAAATTTGTATTATGTAAGAAATTAGGCCATACTCTAAATACACTTGACAAGCACAAACTCTGAAGAACACATGCAGGAGTAATAGACTGGATCTTAACATGCACAGATTTGGAATGCTCTGACTACTTTTTTTTTTTTTTTTTTTTGAATCTGCAAAGGTATTTTCCACGGATCGGAAATAAAAGCAAACACTTATTCTTGCAAGCTTCAGACAGATCAGAAATAAAACCAAACACTCATTCTTGCAAGCTTCAGGAAGTTTGAGATTGGTAACGTCAGACAAACATCTACCTGGTACATGAATTAATAAAAGAAAGCTACAGAGAAAACTGGTTATCTGAAATATGAAGGTTTCTTTACAGCAGCATTCAATTATCACTGCAGTAATAGCAGAAATAAGCAGGACATGTTGTACCACCAAAACATGTGTCTTAATGCTACAGAGGAATATCTGATGATTCCTGGCTTTTAGAATGCTGTCCACAAGAAAGAAAAAGAGAAACAAATACTCTGGAGTTCTCTAAAAGAGAAAAAAAATTAAATATGTAGTGAGATCAATACATGCATGGATAACACCTGTACATTCTACTTTAAAAATGGGCCAAATTTCATCCACAAGCTCAGGTTTTAACTACAGTTTCACTGGCTGTATGGATATGAATAGATAAAAGTGTAGTGCAATTGACATTTAGTATTAGACCCCTGGACAACCAAATTTTACATTTGGAAGTAAATGAGAAAAAAAGGAAAAAACAAACCAGGAAGCAATATCCTGAAGAGTATTCAATGTCATTTTAGATATGATGCAATACACAAGAATAGTAGACAACAAGGGAATAAAATGAGGATGAAAGATTCAATAATAAGATTACTCAGTTACTTAGGTTCATTATGTAAGACATAATTACTGATATAGAGTGAATGGAAAGAAACGGAGATGAAAATCAGATTGGGCAACATAAGCATGTTATTTTAGCCCATCCAGACGTACCAGAAAACAATATAAAACAGTAACATAAAGAAAAACAAGAACTAGCATAAAGATGTCTCACTGAATAGGCTGAGGGAAAAAAAAAAAAGAAGTGGCCAAGAAACTGGAATTCAAAATACAATTTAAAATAGTACATAAATACAGCAACGCTATTTCAACATGGTGTTATACAAACTGATCAATTTCTACAAATCAACTACAGAAAAAGAAAGCTCTGTATTAACCACAAGTTCATACAGCAATTATAACTTCTTTTTTTCAGTTTAGTCACCTAATATTTTACACATAGTACCTAGAGAACAAGCAAGATGCAGAAACCTCACCTTCAACCACCACTTCCTTCAAAAAAAAAAAAAAAAAGTCAAAGCTTATGGAAATTGATATGAAAGTCTACCACAGATAACGTAATTTCTCACAGCTGAATCACTTTTCTGATTTCTTATGCACTGAAATCATGGAATTAAGCAAGGATTATTTGAGTTCTGTCTCCAGCTAGACTACAGAGTGAATCCTAAAGCATTTTGTCTACAACCAAACTTGAAGCTTAAGCAACAACTGGGTATACAAACAATAGTCAGTTCCACAAACGAACTGCAGGTAGGCCTATGATTTGAAACACTTATCTTCTAATAGCACAGGAAAATCAATACTTTGTGGGATCAGCTTAAAGATTCATTAATGCATTTAATGTACAGCCACTTATGACACTTTAGTCAAACACATGCAAAAAGTGTTTGGACAAGAAGCTGTCATATTAGACAACCTCCTGAACCACAGCATCAATAAAAAACATCTCACAAACCAGCTGAGGTATCTAGGAGTTGCTACTGCAATTATCAGAAACACAAGATGTGTAATTCTGATGACACCAAGCTGGTAGGAGCGACTGATACACCAGGGAGTTGTACCGCCATCCAGAGGGACCTCAGCAGGAGGGATAAATGGACTGACAGGAGCCTCAGGCTCTTCAACAAGGGGAAGTGCAAAGATCTGCATCAGGGGAGGAACAAGCCCAGGCACTAGAACATGCTGGATGCAGCCCAGCTGAAAAGCAGCTTGGCAGAAATGGATCTGGGGGGTCCTGATGGACACCAGGCTGAAGATGAGCCAGCAATGTGCCCTTGCTGCAAAAAACCCTAAGAGTGTCCTCAGCCAAACCACTGCCAGCAGGTCAGGGGAGGTGATTCTTCCCCTGTACTCGGCGCTGGTGAGGCCACACCTGAAGTGCTGGGTCCAGGGCTGGGCTGGGCTCCCTAGTACAAGAGAGACATGGATGCATTGGAGAGTCCAAGGAAGGGCCATCAAGATGATGAGAGGACTGAAGCATCTCTCATAAGAGGAAAGGGTGAGGCAGATGGAAATGTTCAGCCTGGAGATGAAAAGGCTCCAGGGAAAATCTCATCAATGTATATAAACATCTGAGAGAAGAATGCAAAGAGGATGAAGCCAGGTAACAGATTGTTTAATAACATTATCAATGACCCAGATAAGGTGATCGAGTGCATCCTCAGTAAATCTGCAGATGACTTTAAGTTGGGTAGAGTGCTGGAGGATAGGAAGGCTCTGCACAGACATCTGAATAGGCTGGGCTGAAGGTCCAAGGCCAACCGTAAGAAGTTCAACAATGCAAAGTGACACTACAACCCCATGCAATGCTCCAGGCTTGAGTAAGAGCAGCTGGAAAGCTACTCGGTGGAAAAGAACCTGGGGGTGTTGACTGACAGCTGCTGAACATGAGACAGCTTGTGCCCATGCAGGCAAGATGGCCAATGGCATCCTGGCCTGTATCAGCAATAGTGTGGCCAGCAGGGCCAGGGCAGTGATCATCCCTCTGTACTGGGCGCTGGTGAGGACTCACCTCGAATCCTGTGTTCAGTTCTGGGCCCCTCACTACAAGAGAGACATTGAGGTGCTGGAGAAGGGCCTGGAGCACAAGTCTGATAAGGAACAGCTGACAGAACTGGGGGATGTTTAGTTTGGAGAAGAGAAGGCTCTTCCCTGGAGAAAAAACCCTATCTACAACTACCTAAAAGGAGTTTATAGCAAGGTGGATGTCAGTCTCTTCTCCTAAGTAATGAATGAGATGAATAACCTCAAGTTGTACCAGCCGAGGTTTAGACTTGATACAAGGAAAAATTTTCTTCACAGAAAGGACTTTCAAGCATTTGAACAGGCTGCCAAGGAAGCGATTGAGTCACCATCATTGGAGGTATTTAAAAGATGTGTAGATGTGGTGGTTAGGAACATGGTATACCAATGGACTTCTTAGTATGAAGTCAATGATTGGGTTCAACAATTTTAAGGGTCTTTTCCAACCTAAAGAATCCTATGATTGTATTCTGTGACAGGACCAGAGTCAGTGGGCACAAGCTGAAACACAGGTGGTTCCATCTTGGCACCAAGAAACGCTTCTTCATTATAAGGGAG